TGAGCTAAGATTCACATTAAAAAAATACTTCTTGAACCCTGTTCACACCCTTAATAAATGTAAAGGGGTTATAGACTTTGGTCAGTTCAGCTTCTCACAAGAGTTTCATACGGCATGTGAAATCATATTGGTATAGAAGAATTTAGCAATCAAATTCCACCTGATTCACAAGTTCTGTCTATTTCAAAGGAAGGGTAAGCTTATGTATTGTAGTATTTAGAGCTGTGAACTGGGAAAACATAATTTAAATACATATGTATTTTTCAGATTAGTTATGGAGCACTTGACTCTGTGCTTAACAATCAGACCAAATTTAAGTTACTTTACCATACAGTTCCCAATGAAATCTCCCAATTTTATGCTATCATTCAGCTGTTAACCCATTTTGGATGGACGTGGGTGGGAATCATTACATCAGATGACAACAGCAACCAACAAGCAAGCACAGAATTAAAAAAGGAGATGGAGAAACATGGAATTTGTGTGGACTTCCTAACATACCTTTTAGTAGATCCAGAGTCTAACAAAAACAATGCTTTAAAAGTTAGAAAAATGCTAGAAAACTCTTCTGTCAAAGTTATTATATCATACTGTACACTTGTTCTACTTCTTAGCTTTATTGAAAAATTTGCTTATAATATAACTGAGAAAGTTTGGATATCTGCAAAAGGAATGAATGGCCTTCCACATTACTTTTATCCTAAATTCTTTGAAAAAATTAATGGCTCCTTAGAAGTAACAGTCCGCAGTAGAGAACTTCCTGGGTTTAAGAACTTCTTGTATAAAGCTTCATGGATTAACATGCAAGACAACAGCTTTCTACAAATGTTTTGGATATTTGGCCTTGGTTGTTATGATCCTCGTGCAGAGTTTAATTCTTCAAATATGATTTGTGTAAATGATACAAAGTGGAAAAATGTTGTGTCTCAAGACAAAATGAGCACATACCGGTTTTCTTATAAAATTTACAATGCTATTTATTTCATTTCCAAAGCATTTCATCAGCTTCTCTATATACAATCATTTTCAACAATGACAGATAAAGTGAAATTTAAAGTGAGCAAATTAAGTGTTTTTAAATATAAAGTTAGTAATGGTGAGCACACCAAACAGGCTGAAGTTATACCCCAGCCACTTGCATTTATATACCCATCTTTTCAAATGAGAGTATGATCAACCTTAGGGGTTATTTTGTTGTGCATACTGTGCTCTAACTCCCAGGAGGCAGCATTAACCAATTTATATGAGCAATGCTGAAACCAATGACACTATACATACAGAGATTTATTCACAAAGCTAGCCGAAGGATCAGCCATAGCTCCGGCTGATCCTTTGGCTAGCTTCAGCTGCTGGAGCCCTTCAGTTCAGTGTATTCACTATAGCCCGTACAGCTCCTGAAGGCAGCCGCGCCGAAGGCTTATGCTTGGGCTCGACTGAGCCAAAATGATACCCGGAGCGGGGCGAATGCCTCGCAACTGACAGCTTAGCAGAGCCGGCCGCGACATCATGTCCGTCTCCACCCAGTTGTTATTCATTGGCTGGGACCTGCTAGAAGACTCTAGCAGGCCCCGGCCAATAGGAAATAGTTGGGCGGAGCTAGCTGTCACAACTAGCTCCATCCAATTTTTTTTTCTTTTTTTAAATATTTATTTTTCCTTTTTTTAAACGAATCTTTATATATTTTTTTAATTTAACATTTATTTACATTTTAAAACATTTTTTTAAACTTTTTTTCACTGATGTTCTATTCTCCTCGGTACAACAGGGGCATTCCACTATTCACACTCACTACCATTTGGCCCCTATGAGAATAGGGGCGAACGGCAGTGAGTAGCCCGACGGAGCTTCGGCTCAGCCGATCCAGATGTTGGATCGGCTGGGGGGACGTGTTCGAACTGCTTCTGCACTTCGGCTCAGCCGAACATGCAGAGCTTGGTCGGCTGAAAGCAGCTGTACAAGCCTGAAGTGAATAGCTGAACAGCGTTCGGCTCACTTCAATTCGGGTGGGTTATTCACTCGGGTGCCTACGGAAGCTTTGTGAATCACCCTCACAATGATGCTAACAACATACAATTCAAGCATTCCTAAAGTGTCTCTAAACCTAAGAACAAAATTGTAATAAATTGGCAATGCTTTGACCATCGTATGCTCTTCTGTGATGGTTGTTTCGTAAATTGTATATTCAAAATGTTCCTATGTCCCAACAACAGTCCATCTGAAAGAATCTTAAAACACATCTTTGATATAAATATCCTGTAAAATAATGCATTCTACTCCATTACACTGCACTCTGTACACTGTATTGTACAAGTTATACTTCGCATTTCTCCACTCTGTAACTGGGCACAATTTGGTAAGATGGTATCTGTTGCAGGAACCCTAATTGTAAAAGTAAATTAATATATTACTATTATTCACTTTAATAGTCAGTCAAATTTATTTTGTTTAGACTATTCACTCTAATAGTCTGTCATGCTTAACTTATCCCACTCCATATTACACAGTCTATAAGTGTGTTAATCATATAGATTGCTATACTTTAACATGTGTATGCATATATTTATGCACATATTCATTAATATATGTTTTGTCTTTTTTTTAAAGCTACACCACTATTTAAAAAATGTAATTATAAAAACATCTTCTGGTGAAGACATTTCATTTAGCGAGGGGCGATATATTGAAGAAAATTTTGATATTTTAAACTGGGTTGTTGATTCAGATATGGCAATGACAAGTATTACTGTCAGTAACTTGTTACCATTTGGACCTAAAATATTTTATCTAAATGATAGTATGATTATATGGAATCCAAAGTTTAATCGGGTGAAAAATTAAAAGCGACTTTGAGAAATCTTGACAGTCCCAAACATTTAATTATTTCAAAATGTGATATAAGTTATGTTAAGAAAGTTGGGTGCAGTGCTCCAACCAATTTTTTTTAGGTTTGGACAGAGTGGGGAAGGGTTATAACTGTTGGCTCCACTGAGAGCGTTGCCATGCCAGTCCCAGCCGCACCGGGCACTGCGGATTTTGGGACTGGCAGCGATGGCACCGGTGGAGGTACGGAGGGCGCACGCTCGCAGCTCCTGCAAGCTGGTCAAGAAAATGGTCTGAAGGTTTTAAATATATAATGCATGGACTTCATGCATGAGAAAAAAAAAATGGTTGGTAAGCTTTAAATATCTCATTTTCAGATGGCTAAAACATTTACAGTTTTTTTAATTTATTTTAAGTGTATGTGTTTGCTGTGCTGGTCAGAAGCAGGGTTGAGGTCACAAGCCAGAGTCAGAACACTAGAAGATCACAGGTGAAGAACAGGGTAAAGCTGAAGACCAAGCAGCAACCAGGTCATACTCAAACTGATTCTAATAAGCTATCTGGCACCAATGAGCAAAGCAATGCGTGTGCAAATGCAGGAATGTCCACAAAACACTTACATCTGCGTGCTGGGCTTCCGTTGTGAATATGTTTGTGTGCACTTCCACGCGCCCAGATGCCAGCATGCGTGCGACCCCCAGTAACAGCATGTTTGTCCCTAAGCCTGGGAACAGGGCCATGCACACGTGTACCTACTGGTCTTCTGGTGAATACCTTACAGTCTCTTTACAGGGAAAGAACTGTCTTTTCAGCTCTTTTGCAATCCTTCGGGATTCTGCTCAGGATCCTGGAACTGGGAGATTTCAAAGTGGTTTGGGAGAGATGAAATCTCCATTCCCGGGTCCATGGTTTTGCAGTGACCAGCACCCAATGATTGCACATCTGTGTACCTTATGGAAAGGTTGCTGGCTAATGATCAGAACTTCAGTTGGAAGACAGAAAATAACCCTTTCCTGGAGTCATGTGGACTCCATCTAGGAGTCAGAGTGGAGCCAGGTGTGTCTGTGCTGAAGGCACACACAAGACAACTGGGGAGGCTGAAAGAGGGCCACGGAGGGTCGGAGAGACATTGAGGCTAAGGACAGCTACCGTGAGTGCATGTCAGCACTAAGGGGTCTATTGACAAAGCTGCCGAGGGCAGCCGAGTGAATGACCGATCAGAAGTGAAGTGAGCCGAACACTGTTCGGCTATTCACTTCAGGCTGGTACGGCTGATATCAGCCGTACATCGGCTTGCTCCGTGTGGCTTCGGATCAGCCGAACATGCTTAGCATGTTCGGCTGACCTGAAGTGCAGAAGGAGTTCGACTCAGCCGATCCAACATCTGGATCGGCTGAGCCGAACCTCCGGCAGGCTTCACACTGCTGTTCGGGCTATTCTGAAAGATCCCGAACAGCAGTGAGAGAATAGCCGAATGCCGCCGAGCGGCATTTGGCTCGGCTGTTCTGCTCGGTCCCTCAGAGGCACCGAGCAGAACAGAAAAAGAGTGAAAAAAGTAGAAAAAAGTCAATAGAAAACGATTGTGCAGAGCTAGCAGTGACAGCTAGCTCCGCCCAATAGTTTCCTATTATCCGGCGGCTCTGCTGCTGTAAAAAAACAAAAACAAAAAAATTTAAAAAATCCCCCGGGCGCTCTGGGAGCCCCCCGCTCCCGCCCGCCAAGAAGAGAAACTCTGCTGTGTCATTTTTTTTTCTTTATTCTGACACTCAAAACAGCCAGGCACTGGAAGTGGAAGCTAGGAGGCTAAAACTGTGTTTATTTTGCAAGAAGTGCATGGATGTTATGTTGGAAACCCCTGTGAGGGAAACCAATGTGGATTTCGAACTTTCTTTTTGAATAAAAGTGGGCTAACAGTCCTCAAAAAGACGTTCATGCTAGTGGACTGCATCCTTAAAACGCTACCATTTGAAGCTAAATCTCACAGGTAGTTTAGTATTTTTTTTATCTAGTTTTTTTTTGTGTTTTAAATTCCATTTTCCTGTGTATATTTGATTTTGTTCCATACTGTCAATTCTGTACTGCTCACTTCCCCAAACGTTATCCAAAAAAACCCTTTTAAGCCTCATAAAAGCCTTCCCCACAAACAGATGATACGTCCATCTGGCCGTTCACAAACGGCCATGGACGTAAGGTAGTTAAATTAGATCGTCATTAGTTTAGTGATAGGAAATATACCATTTTAAAATTGTCACCAGAACAAGAGATCAGGATAATATCAAATGTGGACACCTGTTTATAAGACCCCTAAATGGGGAATTCCCCTCCTTTCATTTCCTATTGCATCTCTGAGCAGAGAGTGTAGGGAATTATCTTCATTGGGACACTGACAGAAAAAACACCTAACAGGGGTTTTAACCCTTCCACAGTCTACCCAACACAAGAAAAAAAAATCAGCCATACATCAACTTTACTTATGGAGCTATGCCCTATGAGGCATAGACCCTGGGCGTCACCAGGCCGGGTGTTACCCAGTGCACACATCATTATATATATAAATTACATAATTACGCACGTGTGTCATGACATCACCTGTACCTCACTGCCAGTGGCCATCTTGGTGATAGATGCCGGCAAAGAGAGGAGGGGACATTCATTCGGCGGATAAGGTATGCCATCGGGTCCCCTCCTTTCCCACATTCAGCTGTCAGGCTCTCAGTGCATTACTTTTCAGAAGGGGTGACACCAAAATGACTGTCAGCTATTTTGGTGTCACCCCCTCTGATGGTCCACCTGCTGAGTGAATGAAAGTGGTGGGCAAGGGAAAGTAAGGCTGGGGAGCAAAAAGCTAGATAATGTTGGATGTCCTCCAGCCAGGAAATGAGGTGGGCTCTATTTTCCTTGCTCTATGCTTCTAATGAAATCAGAGTAAGACATTTCAGTACAGGAGAGAAGCCTGTAGGACTGTGCATAACTGAAGATAAAGCTGGAGTTCAGCTTTAATATATTTATGAATTGTTTCTTTTTTTACCAGACTCCCCGTTCTGTGTGTAGTGACCCATGTTTATCAGGTTACAGGAAGTGCCTACAATCTGGGAGACTACCCTGCTGCTTTGACTGTGTACTGTGCAACGATGGGGAGATAACCAATAGTACAGGTATATTATAAGCAATAATAAAATAAGTAAATAAATACAATTTATTGTTGTGGGTTTTTATTTCTTTAAATCTATCTTTCTCCATAGGCATCAAGAAATACAAATTCACAATCTGCTTAGATTCTTCAGTTTATTCACCATCTATTGATTAGATAATCTTGGTTATTTTGTTCTTTGGGCAAGATTGACAACAGTTTTCAGTTTTGCCAGGATGACGTAACCCCAAGTCATTCCAAAAATGAACACCAAAGCTGGCCATACACTGTTCTATTTTTCTCATTCAACCTGCGGGCTGCTTGAAAAAAATAGAACAGATTGCTTTATCAACGCTACGAGTGAGTTGATAGAGGAATCCCCGCTATTATTTTTTGTATTCTGACAGCGGCCTCCAGCCACTGTCAGAATATCTGAAGAGAGCCCATTTTTTATTCAAAGATTTTCTGACTAGTTTCTTTAATCAGCTGTATGAAATTTGCATTATGTATGGCCAGCTTAAGCTGTGCATGTGCAGCTCGGAATACATTTAGAAGAAACATTGCTGGCAGGCAGTGTATATTTTTTGTAGAAGTGACATACTGTATATTGTCTCTTCTGCATTAAAAGTCCACCAACAATTTTCAATCTAAGGCTATAGTTCTGCTTTAAGGTGTGTAATCCAAGAGAGTAGTCAAAGTCCAGTCCGGGTCGAGGTAGGCAGCGATGGTTCAAAGGCGATAGACAGTCCACGGGTTCGGTAATCTGGAAGTGCAAACGAAGGGGGAAAACAGGTAACAACACGACCCAACAGAGAGGCTAGGTGTTCACACCATAAGGTGGAATAACTCAGCAACAAGCCAGAGCTCTGCCAGGTTTTTAAAGCCAGGGGATGTAAGACCACCCCCCAGTCACTGAGGCAACCAGGAGACTTCCCCCCCAGGAGCCACGCGCATGCGCAAATGCAACTCGGGCACCAGGAGTTCTACCAGGCCGGAGGGGAACCCGTGCCCTGCGCCTTGCCCGTTGTCCCCGTGAAGAGGTAACACCCCTTGCTTCCTGACGCAACCCCTGTCATTTTTGCTAAAAAGCTTATGCATGTAAATATAAATAAAAATCTGGGTGATAAGAAAAAAAATGCATACACTCATATAGTGTCATCAACAATAACTGTATATATAGTTATCAGAATACAGCCTTTTTATGATAGTGATCCATTAAAATTGTTGAATGAAAAGTTGTGCTTATACATAAATATTCAGAATCAAGTTAGAAGAGGTTCGCTGTAAACAACCTGCTTCAAGGAAAATGTATAGGATAATAAAAACTGAATTGTATGCTGGTATGTACCTCTAAAAATACAAAAAATATAACTTGTAATATTCTCCCTCTCCTCCTTCTCCTTCTCCTTTTCCTCCTTATCCTCCTCCATCTTTTCCTTATATTCACTTTAAAGAAGAACTCTGGACAGAATGAAACGTAACCCTTGCAGTGGGCCTACCCCCGCACTGCTAGAGTTAAGTGTTTGTTTTTGTTCCGGGTCTAAAATAACAAAGATATACTCACCTGGTCCTCGGTTCTGACTGGCTGCTAGACCGGTCATGGCAACCTCTCTCTCCCTCTACTCCGACGATGGATACAGTGTATTGGACATGATCAGGGTTTCCTAGACTGCTGGAGCGAAGGGGGGAAAAGTCAGAAGGGTCCATTCTAGCAGTCATATGGGACTGAGGTTTGAGGGAGTATATCTTTTACACCCAAGACCAAAACAAGCACTTTACACTTGCAGTGCGGGGGTAACCCTACTGCAAGGCTTAAGTTTTATTCTGCCTGGAATTTTCTTTAAGATTGCACTAGCTGTTAGAATTTTTCTTAATGGGTACAGGCACACTGCAATTCCACATCTTAGCCAGACAGGCAATACATCAAATTAAAGTTTATTATCTCCTTGCTTGTCTTGCACATTTAGATTTTTTTACATATTAAGTTATATGGGTCTACTTCCTAAATAAGTAGAGAATGTTCATGTTGCAAAGTGAATGCTAGCACAAAAGGTAAAATTATTTTACATTGAATACCCAATATTATGTAACAAAATAATAATAATAATACAAAAACAGGATTTCTGCAAGCATATGATTGGATGACTGCTGTTATCTCAGTTTCAACCTATCCAATAAACTTTTCAAAAGGAAAAATTCCCTTCTTCATTAATACATTAGCTTAATAGGTTAACCAACCTTTTCCATTCTCTTTTATCCAATGATACTCTTGGTTAAAGATAAAACAAGACGTTGGCTATAAACATTATGTGGTTAATTTACTAAGTACAAATCGGCTGCTCACTTTGCAAGGGAAGTTTGCAGGGCAAGTTTCCCTTAGCTAGGTGAATGTGGTTAAATTTCACATTGCAAAGACTACCCAATCACATGCAAGGAAAATTTTAAAAAAACCCTGTATTTTTGCTTGTACAGAATTGGGTGATGGAAGCCAGCAGACCCTCACCTCATTCACTAAACTAAGGGGAAAATATGCTTGCAAAGTGAACAGCCTATTTGCCTCTAGTAAAACAACCACCATAACTCAAATGATATAACAATTATACAATTAATTTGATAGAGAAGTACAAATTCAACAGAGAAAACCCTTATTTTGTTTCTTTTTTTTTAGCAATGGAAAAATGTGAAAACTGTCCGGATGATCAATGGCCTAATTTTTACCGAAATCAATGTATTAAGCGTCCATTACATTTCCTATCATATGAAGATCCGTTGGGAAAAACATTGACAATTGTGGCCTTTGTCTTCTCTGCAATTACTGCTATGGTGTTGTGGATCTTTGTAAAATATAGGAAAACCCCTTTGGTGAGAGCAAACAACTGCAAGCTGAGCTATGTCCTTCTAACATCTCTTTTCTGGGATTTTCTTCTCTCGTTCCTCTTTATTGGACATCCTGAAGAAATGACCTGTCTCATTAGACAAACAGCATTTGGATTTATTTTTTCTGTGGCGATTTCAGCTGTTCTTGGCAAATCAATTACAGTTATAATTGCATTCAATGCTACAAAGCCAGGTAGCAGGTTAAGAAAACTTTTGGGATCAAAAATATCAGTTATCTTGGTTTTTATTTGTTCGATGGGGGAACTGGTAATTTGTGTTTCCTGGCTAATATGTGCACCACCATTTGTTGAATATGATACTAAAACAATGGCAGGACATATTATTGTGCAATGTAATGAAGGCTCTATTGCTGCATTCTACTTTGCAGTCTCCTATATTGGTATCTTAGCTAGTTTTAGTTTTCTTATTGCCTTTCTATCTAGGAACCTTCCAGACACTTATAATGAGACTCAGTACATTACCTTTAGTATGCTTGTGTTCTGCAGTGTCTGGATCTCTTTCTTTCCAACCTATTTATGCACTAAAGGCAAGACTATGGTGGCTGTTGAGGTGTTTGCTATATTATCCTCTAATGGAGCATTACTATGCCTTATATTTTTTCCAAAATGTTACATTATACTGCTAAGGCCTGAACGTGATAGAAAAAGAAACTTTCCTTTAAAAGTTTTTACCATGTGAATTTCAATATAGTGTACTTCTGTGAATTAAATATAATGTTTAGTTTTGTATCTTTACCAGTCCATTGGAAAAAAAATATTTCTTGAAGTATCTATCTATCTATCTATCTATCTATCTATCTATCTATCTATCTATCTATCTATCTATCTATCTATCTATCTATCTATCTATCTATCTATCTATCCACAATTGATTAACTTGTATTTTTTTCTCTGTATCAAAAGAATTAAAGTAGATTTCCACTTTTAACTTTTTTCCCTTTTTTCCCATCTTTGGACCAGCCACTATACATGTGCGGTCGGTCCGCAGCCCCATTGTTCCCACCTGTTTGCATGCCCCTGGCCATGCAGAAGCCTCTGATCTTGCTGGCATTAGACAGTCGGTCTGATCAGCTCTGTGCCTTGTTATTACTGTGAATTTATATTGTATGACCTGGACCTGGGCAGTAGGTGCCAAACCCCTGTGAGATAAGTATAAAAAGAAAAGCTGGGGTTTTTTAGGCACCAAATGACAACTTCCAAGACGATGGACCATAAAAAATATATTTATTTGTATTAGGTTATTAAAAGTGGAAACATTTCATAAAAACAGCCTAATCGGATAACTCCCTGAGAGCTCACTCCATTACTGTTCTATCCCTTGTGAATGCATGCATAACATGATTAACTTGAATCACAATACATGATGATAAAACCATGATTGATGACCAAAAATAAAATGATATAGCATTTCAAAACATGATTAGGGAGAATAAATGTTAAACATGATCAAGGGTTTGGCAATGGAGGATGAGACAGTGGAGGAGCGCAATTTGTCTCGACGTTTTGCGCTTGACGGCACTTCTTCAAGAGGAGGAAGTTATCTACATGATTCGAAAAAGAATATACATAAAAAATCATAATCTAAAACAAAAAATCTTAACTCAGTACATAATGCATATTTTGGGTGAGCATGTAACCTACGAATAAAGTGAGTCGATGTGTGTGCGTCCATGCAGCCCCGTCCAGGCGCAGCACCTGAACCACACCCACCAGAGCAGACAAGGGGAGAGAGGTCGAGACCATGGGCCCCACTTTGGGCAGCGGAGGATGAAAGGTATGTGGTATCAAAAAAAACTTGAAAAAATAATAGATAAGGGGTAAAGTCAGAGCCTCGCGATAGCATCCAAAACCAGATGTCTAAGGGACTGTCACAAAGTGATCATACGTCCCATAAGGAAGGCATAGTTGGAAGGGTGCATGTACCATTAGATGAATGCAGACCTTTATCAGGTGGTTCCCCCGTCATAGACCGAGGAGTATCTGTCCTCCTTTCACCTCCAAGCCCCCAGCGTGCTGTTTGGCCGCCCCAGGCTACACACTGACACTGGAGGCTCACTTGGGCGTTATTATGGCATCTACCGTGATGACGTAATGACGTCATCACGTGACCGAGACTGACCCGCCCCCCACTAGGCATTACAGGAACAGTACTACCATGGCTGGAAACTAACCCTACATAGGTTTCAGCAGCTCCTATCAGTCATTTCTATAAGGCTGTGAGCCATATCTAACAGATGAATGGACAAAGGGAAATAAAAGAGGACACATACTGAGCCATCGAGGTATACTGAATACATCTGATGTTCATTAATTCATCAACTGCTATCTATTTATGAGATTCATAGAAACTCCTCTAAAAACTCCATATGGGTCATTTAACAATGCTCTATACAGGTGCGGGAAAAGTTTTCTCTTGGCCCTTTTTCTCTTTTAACATTTCCCACATCAGTTTTGTTAGGTATCACCGATAGAATTAAATATAACTCTTGCCATTTATCTGGACACTTCTGTATATAGATAATGTACTTTGTCCAATATATCGTCATCTGTTAGTTATTTTCTGTATTAATTTTCTGTATGTAAATATAAATACTTCCAATGATATACTGTATGTGAATATGTACTGTATGTGAATATAATTATTTCCAATGATGATCCCCATCCCCTCAGGAGGGCCTCATCATTTGGATGTCAGTATACCTCGATGGCTCAGTGTGTGTCCAGTTTTTTTGGGGTGGGGGGTGTTAACCATGTTCCCTGCGGGCAGTATTTAGGGTGCTGCCGCCTCCTATGAGTCGGCCGGCATCTACCTGTCCGAGGCCGCCATTTAACCACTCTTTACTCATCCAGCTCTGTGTGCCCATGGGTTATCTGCCCTCTTTTATTTCCCTTTGTCCATTCATCTGTTAGATATGGCTCACAGCATTATAGAAATGACTGATAGGAGCTGCTGCAACCTATGTAGGGTTAGTTTTCAGCCCGGGTAGTACTGTTCCTGTAATGCCTAGTGGGGGGCGGGTCCGTCTCGGTCATGTGAAGATGTCATTATGTCATTGCGGTAGATGCCGTTATAGCGCCCACGTAAGCCTAAAAATATCTTCTGAAAGTTCAAGGCATTCATTTATTCATCCATTCATAGTCTTGATCCAATTTTTTAAATATGCATTCAAGAACCTTAATTATTAACGTATTTGTGTATCACTCAGCTGTAGATCCTCAAATCATCTCTGAATTGGTGCTGACACTGTCCTTCCTTCTGGAGGGTGGCTACATTTGTTACCCATGGCCCTGTGTGTGTTATAAAGTAGCCACGGCTCTAAGCTCATTACTGGGATGGTCTACAATCTCATGTTTAGTTTACTAATTTGTATTGAGTTATTGTCTATCAAGGGAGCACGCTTGGAGTGGTGGCTACTTTACAACACACACAGGGACCATGGAGAACAAATTTAACCACCCTCCTGAAGGAAGCACAAATTCAGAGATGATTTGAGTATCTACAGCTGAGTGATACACAAATAAGATACATTTTTGTTAATAGTTAGGGTACTTGAATGCATTTTTAAGATTTAACTCCTGTGTTTAGTGTCACTTTAATTGAAACTATTTGTAAGGAAGTGTATGGAAAATCAATGTGCCATATTGGTGTGCATTGTAACACACTGCTTTGCCATAAAATGTATGCTTGTGTAGTGCCCTGTGCTATGTTGCTACTAGATTTACAGGTTTATTCACTAAAGGGTGACAAGTTTGGAGAAGGCAGGAGAAGTGAACAAGCTAGACCAAAATAGTTGATTTGGAAATATTCTCCATTTCAGCTCATTTTCCAGTTCAGCCATGTTTTTCATAGATTGTTCACTTCTTATGCCTTCTACAAACTCTTCACCCTTTAGTAAATAGACCTGTTAGTGTTATATCCAGACTGTAGTCAGTCTGGATGCTGATTATTCTGAGATCTGCAGGTTTCCCTAAGTCTGGAGGATTGATTGATTCAACCTGTTGCTAGGTTGGGGCCTCAGTATACAGTGTGGGAGGTTCAATCCTCAGATTATGAATATGAGTCTGACCCATCCCTGAGCAGGCTCACTCTGAGGTATGACTGGAGGAAGGTGATAAATATTTGGGAACACCTTCCAGATCTCTCTCTCCCCTGAGGCTTCTCCCTGGGATGAAGTATATTTGCTGTAAGATGCCTGGCCTAGGCCTCAGCACATGGCTGGTGCTGGGGGCCCAGAGGCCTAAGATGCTATTGAGAGGAAACCTGATGGAAGATGGGCTGGAGGAAGAATCCTTTTACAGAGGAGTGTGCAGAGAAGCTGGTGCGAGCTGCCTTCTGGACCCTGTAAGTGATCCTTCACCCTACACTAAGATATTACACAGAAAAGAAGAAGCCAATGGGTGACTGTATGTCCTGTGACTGTTCTCCCTCTGAGTCTTGGACTGTTTCTGGCTGTTCTCTGGTGCTACAATCTTTTTTGATTGCTTTTATAGGACTTTTTGCTACCTTTTACTACTGCTGTTGCTAATAGTGAAGACACTGTCCTCCGTTTTTGTTCCTCTGGTATCCTACAACCCTAACCCTCTGTTCTAGTTATTACGGAGCAATAAATACTAAAAAGACTCCACGACTCAAGCCTGTTCTATCCCAAATTGTTGGTGTTGCTGGAGGTAAGGAAAAGGGCTGGTGGCTGGCAAAACAGGTTATATAACTTAATTCATATCGACTTGCTCCTTCGGGGGTGAGTACTACACTTGCATAATTGTATTGCTACACACAACAACACAGTGCCCAAATGGCATTGCAGATCACTTTTGTGTACACTTTATGTACTTTTAATAAATACATGATTGGGGGGGGGGTCTTTTGCAAACTCTGGAAGGTGTAGTTGAAGAAAACTACAAAAAAAAAATGTAAAGTAGAAAAAATTGCAAAAATAGTCATGCTAGCTGAGGTTAAAAATGGAGCGCAGGGACTGGCAGCAAAAGGGTTATTAGAGTAGCTCCATGAGAAGTCCATTTTGCGGTTGGAATGCTAACTGTGCTCATTACATTCCATGGAGCAATCAGAGTGTAAAGGATTACAATAAAATACTAAAGCAAAGGATTTCCATGTACATAAATGTTTACTTAACAGTTTTTAAGTTTGGTATCCTTTGGCCCTCACAATAACTCACAATAACAAACAGGTTAAATGTTCGCAAATTCTAAAAAAAACATAATAAAAGAACATTGGGCACTGTTATGCTAATAACAGATCTAGACACCAAGAAATCTTATCCTGAGAATTTTAAGGTCCTTAAGTCAAAATATATATATATGTGCTCTGACATACTGTATAACTGTTCAGAAACACAGTTTCCTTTTTCAGGTAAGGTCTCTTACAAATAACTGAAATATCATAGTGATATACACACAAATATAGTGGACACCATTGAAGATATAAACAAATGTAACAGTTCTGCACATGTGAATGCATATACTTTAAAAACAAAATGCAAAGAGTGGAAACACCTCGATCCAGCACAATAAAACCTTTGCTTGGAGAGATAAAAGCATAAAAGCAAGTAAAACAATCATATTTTTCAGACTGCAAAGAGCCTATCAGTGTAACTGTCACACTCAGTCAGAAGGTGAGCTGACACTGTGTCCAGCGGAGCTCTGGAGATAGAACTTCAATCC